GTCCCGAAGAACTATAGCTCCCCCCAAGCAGAAATGGTATTTGCCAAGGTCCGTAAGACTTTTGTCACCGCTATACTGTCAAAAACGCTAAAACAATAGAACAAATGAGACCGCAGGTATAGCGACAATGCATTTCCCCTTGAGGTGAAAAGGATATCCGGCGGGAAAGCCGAGTACGTTCCGACAAGGCGAGTGACCTGGTCAAGGTGATGTGAGAACAATCCAGCGTTCTTTATGCTAGTTGCATCCGTTTTATGCACAAATTAAGAAAGAAAATGTTATTTTTTGGCATCAGCTGGAGAAACACAAGAATTCAATGAGAAATTATGAGGCACCCACCAACTCGAAGTCAATTATTAACCATCGGAAAATTCGAAAAAAAAAGATTTCTGTGCACTTCGAGCAGTTCAAAAATCAGAATCCTCTGCAATGCAAAAATCAAATGCTAACTGGAAACTTCCGCCAGGCTTACCAAGCTTTCTTAGTATCTGTAATCACCTCTTCAAACTTCAGACAACCTAATCGGTACAAAATATAACGGAATACACACTCTGTTATTTCCAAAAATGATTCCCGAAAGTATTTTTTATTACTATGTATACATATTAGAACAATAACACCAATTCTATATTTTAACCGAAAGGTCTTGTCAAATAACCGAGTTTTGCACCAGCCGGTTCCAAACCGCCGTAAAATGAGGCGCCAAGTGTGTAGACAGGTTCATCACCTTCAGATGAATCGGGAAGTACGTGAAGGTAGGAGCCCATGCCCTACAAAATAATTTTTTATTGAACTACTTCAATATAAGATCAATAGTAAAAAATTGCAACGAAGAACCTTGTTTTTTTAGGTCAAAACAGCAGAAATACTTTTACCCACGAAATCTAGAAATTTCCGTCAAAAAATTACAATCTTTCCAAACGAAACGAGGTTAAAAATAGCATACAGAATTACACAAAAGTACGATAAAGCGCAATTCTAAAGGTGCGAAGAATAGCAGGACGAGAAAGAAAATAAGATTTTGTTGTCATTATCGTTCCTTAACTTTGCTCAGTTTGAAAATCTGTTTTTGCAAAGATAAAATAATTATGGAATAAGGTTCAGTAATAACAAACAATATTTCTTGAATAATGAGAAAAGATTCCTTGTAATTACCACTCAATAGCCAAACTTTCAGCAATAGGGTTTTTTCCGAACTTTTCCAACAAAAGAAAGAATTTCTGAGAAAAAACTCAAATTAGTACCTGAAATAAATCAAATGCCACCCATAATCAACACAATAAAACAGATCTTCACTACTAACCGTAAAT